TGTGCTCAGAGAGGGGGTTAAATCTAGAATAGAGCAAGCCTGAGCTCTGCGAGCCTGTAGAGGAGCACAGTGTAAAACAGCTTGTAATGTTTTCAAAATGAATTTGTTCCTCCCAGCAGGGGGAACAAACAGCAATAATTCCACAGGTAGATTGGTTGTGAATTAAAACTCTCATTTACTGTATGTCAGTACGAAGAACTGAAAGGATGCATTGTAGAAAAATTTTCTTCAGACAGAGCACTCGATTTTTGTTCTCTTTCTCTTGAAGATTGGCTTCTCTTCAAAGACACTGGGACAAGAGCAAAAACTGATTTATTAAGAAAAAGAAATCTCTATCATTAATATTTACTGTCCTCCTGCCAGATACGTCTCAGGGCAAACTGTTGACAGGAGATAATTGTTGCTTTATCAGATTATGCTGACATAAAATTATACAACACAAAAGTGAGCTTTGTACTTCTATGGCTAACAAAAGCTTAAGTGCTTTAATCTTAATGTATGGCATTAAATGGCATAGAAAGCCTCACAATACAGATTAAATACAGAAGTAATATTTGAATGAGTCAAGTGTAAGAATAACTGAATCAAATTCAAGAAACCTGAGAATTATAATAGTCAATCAATCCAGAGGGCAACTTTCATACCCAAATCTGTAGATTGTACTAGGAGCTGGTCTTGTGTTCCTGTGTGCTGTGAGTATAAATGAATGCCAGGGATAAGGCACTTGGCTTCCCTTTCCAGGCCTTTGTAAGTTCCAGGCCATGCTCTCCGCCATGTTTCATTCAGTGGCAAGATACTTTGCTCCTGGCTCAGTGCAGCCCATCTAGTGCCCTCCTCCGCCTTCCCCCCAGGGACTCTTCAGAAAACAAAACCACACGCCCCCATGCTGCTGTGTGCTGTCCACAAGCAACTGAAAACCCATTTCTCTTCCTTCAACATTTTTCTTAAGGTTGTCTTGTTGCAGAGGCTGTAAGAGAAAAACTTGGTAACCGGCAGGCTATGGATTTGATGAAGTTATTGCCAGTATGCTGTTCAGGGTTATCTCACTTGTGCCTTGCGCTCCATCTCTTGGGTCTCTCACATCTCCGTGTGTCTTGTCTGAAAAGCAGATTGTCAGCTATTGGAGGCAGAAGCTGTGAGCAGAGCTGCCAGGCTCTGTGGTAATGCAAAGAAATAACCAAAACGAGAGCTGGAGGCAGGTGAGCCCCAGGGACTGAGCAGCAGCTACAGAAAGGCAGGGATATAGGCAGTTAAGCTTGAACTTCTGTCAAAGAAGCAAAGAGATGTAAGGGACCTGGCCAGGCTCTGCCCTGTAGACACTGGTATGAGAAGTCAGTGCTGAGAATTTACCGTGTTTTTTCCCCTCGTGGATTGTCTTGCCACAGACTGGCCTGTAAGTGGTTTTTGCTCAACTGCAGTGCTTGCACCTGTGTTAGATGTAGATCAAGGCTATGCTGTGAGCTGTAGAAACAGCCCTCTGGCTTTTTCGTGTTGCATAAAATGGTTGTGCAGTGCTCCTTAGGTCAAAGGTGGAAGAGCAGAGAGAACACCGAGCTATTCGTATTGCATTTAACCATTTCGCCTGTTTAAAAGCAGACCATGACTTTCCAAGCAGCATCACAATCTCTCCTGCCCTTGCTACCCCTGCTGTATCTTACCTTGTTCTTTCCACATGAGCATTTTTCTTTCCCTTCCCTCTGTGTCCATGTTCCCAGGAGCAGAGAGGTGGTTCTTTTTTTGGGGGTCTCTGGAAGCTGCTGCTCTGGTTACAGGTAGTTGGACAGTTAAGTGCTTTAGATTGCTGGCTTCTGCTTTAGCCCATGGTTTGCTCTGTTGGTGGGTAGTAAACCATCTTCTGTCTATTTTGTTTAAGCTGCGGGAGTCATTGAGATGAGCTCTGTAGCCTGTGACCATCTCTTTTGTAGTTACTGGGAAGCAGGAGGCAAAGCTCCTCTTGATCTTTTTACTTGAGCACCCCTTTTTGGGCAGGTGGGGAGAGGCAGGAAGGGATCTCTGCACCCTGCGCAGCTCAGCCATTGCTCCGGGTATTGGAGCTTTGAGCTGAATACATGATGAGGAGTTTGTGCCTCTCCGCTTGCTGTTAGTCAGCATGAAATCCAAGGAGTGCCGCTTCTGTTGTGGGTATGTTGAATTGGCTTAATTGAATCATCTTTATTCACTTTTCCTAGCAAGTAGGAACCCAGTATTAATGAAATGAGAAATGATGATAAACGTTAGTGATAGTGAGAAGAGCTGCATGTCCTGAGCAGCTCTCTGCCTGCACTGAAATGGAGTAGTAGAAGGTAGGTTCAGTAGTGAAAACATTACTTTTTTTTTCTCTTTTATTATGCTAGGCCAGCATAGGGGTCACAAAGTTAGCAATCTGAAACAAAAATCAGGTATTCTGACCTGAATACTTCAGACCACCTCTCTGGTGGTCAGAATACTCTGACCGTATTCAAGTCCATAGTGAAGACTTTCTCCAAATTTTGTTTTCATGTAGTTTCTCAATTATGGGCTGTAGTCAGTATTTCTCCAGGAATTTTCTGTACACTTAAAAAAACGTTTTAATTAACTAAAGTCCTGATGACTGCATTTGACAGCAGTGCTGCAGCCTTTTGGGGGACTGAGTTGTGGGTAATGGCTTTTCAGCTTGGGGCATACATACCATGAACCAGTAGCTTTCAGGAGTTGTTCAGTGCTCCAGTTTCGGTAAAAAGAGATGGATGTAGCTGCTTAGTCCTGTTTGTGACTCAGCCATAAGCCAGGTTTGCTGTTAAACACGGGCTTTCTAGGTTTGTGAGTGATGGAGTGGTAAACTTTAAAAACTTCCTTGTTGGCAGCAGCTACATTGGCATTTCAGATCCGGCTTAATTCGGTGATGGTGATTTTTAACTACCAAAGGGCTTGTGATCATTAGAGAAAATGGCAACTGGCCCATACCAATGTACAGTCAGAAAAATACATAGTGCAGTCATGCCAGTTACGCAGAACAGGAAACTAGTGATGAATAGAGGAGAAGGAACTGCTGGTGTTTAGTCTGAAACGGCTGCAGGGCTCAGCAGGATGAAAGCACAGCTTACCCAGGTCTGTCCAAGATAAAGCAATAATTTATACTTAATGTAGTTTGGCCAATCAGCCAGGAAACACTGCATAAAATTTGTCATTGGTTCTTAAATGTAAGCAGTGATGAAATCCCTTCACAGAGAACGGATATCACTCACTAATGGATTTTGCCGCCCCAAAGAATAATGACATTTAGTTCATTCATGCCCATGGTGTTGTGTCATCATTAGAAAAACGCTGGAGGAAGGAATTTCTTTTGTGAAATGTCCAGCATTCATAGACATGAATTTTAGACAGTTGGATGATGGTTTTTGCATTGTGTGTATATTAACTGCTTACTAGCTAGCACCCAGCCTTTCTGTCTCAGTGAGCAAGTTTTCTTGCATCTAGCTGAATTTCTTCAAAGAAACAATTAAGGAAACATAACGTACTGCAGAATAGGCTAGTCTAACTGAATTGAAAAAAGTGCAAAGAAGTCTTTATAGCAGTTCTTGGTAATCTCTTGGTACAGGGAAGAAAAGAGGACTGTTTTCTATTTTATTACTTGGTAGAAATTTTGGGATTAGATGAAATCTAATGGATGAACCAGCACCATACATAAAAAGCACAACTTTGAGCCCACTTCTAGAAGGTGACAGCACCTTTACCAGCTATTTTTGTCAAGGTGCCAGGCTGAATAGAGGGCTTTACAGTGCAGGACAAATAGATCGGTAATATTTAGGGGATCTGGAAGGCTGTATTCATTTTCTGGATACACTGGTTGTGTTTTAAGCAAAACCTGTTTTTCATAATTCTTCCTGTTCTTCTGAGTAAAATTTTAAAGAAAACAGAAACCTAATTTTGATACCTGTGAGCTGTCCTGATGTTTACCTCCTTCCTGCATACCTTGTAGAAGGGAGATCTGTTTTTAACTCACTCTTACTTTTTTTAGCAGGGCCTGTAAGAGAGCACTGTAGCCACTGGCATATTAGGCATTTTGATTAAATTTCTCATCTTTGTGCAAAGACACATCATGTGTGCAGGGACTCTAATGTGACTTCTAATTTCCTTAATGAAGCCCTTCACTGCTTAGATAAAGACTGGTCCTCATAGGAGAGGAAACTATGAATACACAAAGAGACAATCAGATGGGCAAAATATCTAGTCTGAGCTTTTTACTTCCAGCCTGAGGCACAGCCAGGTGTTCGGGCAGCTTAGCAAGATGGGGAGCTGAGGCTTTTGCTCCTGCATCACTAGAAATGTGCTTTCCTTCTGCAGCAGTCAGTCGCCTGTTTAGAGGATCCCAGTGTTACCTATGCACTGGACATGGGTACTTAGATCTGTTTGTTTGGGGGCCGACTCCAGAATCCCTTCATTACGAAAGCAGCTTACTGAACTGGCAGTATTGTTTTTCTACTATGTCTTAATGTGGCCAAATAAGCAGATGCAGTGTGAGGTTTTTTTTTTCTTTTTTCCAAGCAAGAAAATCAATTTAGGAAAAATCCAGAGGAAAAAAGCCGAAAATGTTTATGATGAATGATTAAATAAAGCTGAACACAAACTCAAAAGTGGATGCAAACATTCCTAAGTACTTGAAAAGTGCAAGTATAAACAGTAGGTAGAGATGCTCAAATGTTTTGCAAGCTCTGTATACCTAGCAATAATGTGTGAAAACAAAGGATGTAGAAGGAATACAGAGATTAAAATTAGGAACCAGGCCATTATCATATGAAATAAGCCTTTCACAAGAAAAACCAGAGAGTAGCTCCAAGTTTAGGTAAAACACTGCACGGTATATACTAAGGAACAATCAGTAAAGGAAGGTTGGATGCATGAGGAATAGTCATCTTCTCCTAATCCTGGTACTTAGGCCTGAGTGGTGACCATGATGAGCGTTACTACATGTGTTGCGTTTGGTGTTCAACTGATAAACTTCTTTCTGTTTTTATTTCTAGGCCTCTTCCTTATCTTAGGCTTGATACTTTACCCCGCAGGTTGGGGATGCCAGAAAGCAATAAGCTATTGTGGACCTTATGCTTCTGCTTACAAACTAGGAGACTGCTCCTTGGGCTGGGCTTTCTACACAGCCATTGGTGGCACTGTTCTGACGTTCATCTGCGCAGTCTTCTCGGCGCAAGCTGAAATAGCCACATCCAGTGACAAAGTGCAAGAAGAAATAGAAGAAGGAAAAAACCTTATCTGCCTCCTTTAACTCCAGTGGGGAAAAATACCAGCGCCTGGATCTTAATCTGCTTTCCATTGACTGGACAAGCAGATCCACTTACCTGTTTCTACCATTTGTGTGATTGAGCCCCATGCATTCCAGCCCCGAACTACTGACATGGTCTTTCTTCCTTGCTGGGCAATGAGGATCAGAGAAAGGATCCCAAAAAAGCAGAATGTAAATACCTGGGGATTTTTTAAGTTTCATTCTATGATCAGGACACAGTAGAATATATTAATCTGACTGGGGAGGTGAGGAATCGTGTATATAGCAGGAATGTTGTTGTTGTAACTGACAAATTCTGATTAATCAGATTGCCTTACCCACCTTGGTCACTTTGAAGAATTTGGATTTAAAATAATAAAAGCCAGCACATTTTTTTCTCTCTTATACAAAAGAGAAGCCTATTTTAATTAGGCTTTGTTTCCAAGGGCTCCCCTCACCTGTGAATATTTCACCACCACCTGGTTTGGTACCATACTTTTCATTGAGGTGCTTTTTGATACTGAACTTCCTTAAAAGTACAGTGCCTTCTCGGATAGTACGTATATGTCAGAGAGATCAAAGCTGACATGACACAGTTTACACCAATCTTTAAGCATTTAAAAAGTTGAGTCCCTGCCAGGTTTCTTTGTCTTGAAACTTATAGTGCAAGGTGTGTGCCACTTGTTACTTAGCAGGTAAATGATTTTGTTTCCATTGACTAGACAGAGCAGCTGTTGTTACACTGGCTTTCACCTGATTCTGATAAAAGTGTCTGAAATAACCATTGCTAGAAATACTTCTACAGCCTTTGTTAAAACTCCTGAAATCCCAAGCAGATGACAACTCCCCACAGCACAGCTGGGCATTATCTTGTGTGAATGCCAACAGCCTGGCCTGGGCTGTAGCCTCTCCTACAAATGTGGATCGCGCATTGGACTTCAACAGTATTATTCTTTCTCTTGCCAGTGAAACCTCATTCCTAGTCTACAGATCAGCCTGTCTCATGACCCAGAGCCACACGAGTCCTTAAGAAATTTACATTTTTCAGGAAGTCTTTCCAAATTCTACATGGCTGGGAAGATCTTTTCCCTTTTTTTTAAACCGCATGTAGTATGGACCCTTTTCCAATTAAATCAGTAGAAATAAAACAGACCTTGCCACAAATGATGTTTCCTTTCTCAAAGGCAGTTGGCTGCACTACTTGTGGTGTTGCATCACTTACTAGAACTGCTTCTGAAAACAAATTTAAAAGGTATTTTAAAAAACAAAGGAATGATGCAACTGTGCCACAGGAGCACTGGGGAGAATTCATCTGAGAAGTAGTTCTAATGATACTAAGTGAATAGTAGTTCTAGTAATACTAAGTGAATTTTAGACTTCTCATCTTACTTCTTGGTAGTTTAACATCATCCAATGACAGTGTTGCTCTCTGTCACTTCATGGTATAATATGGAGCAGAGATTCTTGTTTATGCCTGGTCAGTCCCTTAAAGTGTGCCATTAGTTATTTATAGGTATTAAAAAATTGTTGTTACTCTACAGGTAGATAGCTAATTTCAATACACTGCTCAAGTCATTTGCAATACAAAAGCTGTTCAGCAGTCACGACCGCAAGCCCAGGGCCAGCCTCGAGCATGGGTGAACGCTAGCAGTCGCGGTGTTGGAGCACCCCTCCAGTGCCTGCTGTGCAGCACGGACACCGCCTCGGCCCGGTCGATCTATGGAGCAAACCAGGCCCAGCTCCCAGCCTGCACGTGTCTGTGCCCAGTGCACCTTCAAGCCACATGCCGGATGGATACAGAGGTGATCACTGAGCTGCTGTGCAACAAACAAGGTCAACTTTTGCCAATATTAAAAAGGGATTGTTTTAATCTAGCCTCTTCTTGCATTCACCTGCTCCTCCAACCCACATCCACCGTATTTTAATTTAAAACGGGTAATTAACTTTTCTTGTAAGTATTTAATTTAAAGAAAACAAAAGTTATGGTCTGGAGCCATTTCTGCCAACTGCCTGCACAAAGCAAGGCTTTAACAAATCAAAATTACTAGCACAAAGTGGTGTCTGAGGACAGAAATCACAGCCAGCACGTCCTGTCTGCACCTGTGTTTTTCTCCTTGTTGTTTTCCCGTACACACAAACATTCCATCGGAAGGGCACGCGCTTGGCTTGTACCGCAGGTCCAGCACAGCTGCAAGGCGACTCAAACCGTCCTTCCGCTGTTCCTGCCGAGCCCCCTGCTGGAGTGTGCGCCACGGAGGCTGGGCCACCAGCTCAGCTGTGCTCGTGGGCTCTGCGGTTTGAAAACGGGGGACTAGGAAGAGTAAGAGTAGCATGTAAATCAGCTAAAGATTAATTACGAAATAGATTTACAGTTTTAGCTTTTCTTAGGTGGGTAGCAATCCACTGTCCATGTCGCCACTGCCAACAAATCTTGACGCAGTATTAGGGTCACAAATGCTGCTCTGGCTTGAGCACTTGACTAGTCAGAATAAGGTCAGTTCTTCCAAAAGGTATAGAGGGCATACACTGCTTTGGCTTAGACGTAAACGATGACCAACCTTCATTTACATTACTAACTGACCTCTGCTGTGATCTATGGAACACTTAAAAAATTTTAGTAGTGCAGGTTTTTTTAAGTACAAAGGAGGTATTTTCAGTGGCATGTTTTGCTTTTGTCTGCATTTGTAACCAAGAACCAGCTTTTCTGCTTGTTGCTGGTATACTATCAACTTGCTCTGCAACAACATAATCAACTAACTTGCAAGAATATCCATGTTCATCACACAGCACAGATAGAAGACAGGCTGGGAAGAAATACAGAAAAAAAAATCAGAATTTCTTTTCTCAGGGTTCTGTTTTTCTAGCAAGTGAGAAGATGGTATATATTGCAGATTTTTTTTTTTTCTGGATGAGGTTTTCAGGTGTAGGGTGCACTCATTAAATTTGACAGCTCTTTAAGTTGTTCCTGAAGTTCACCTCAGCAGTAGCTTTCAAAAATATTAAAAAAAAAAAGATAAATCAGCTTAAAGCTAATTTAATTAATTTCATGAGGGCGCTGCGGAGTGTAACTGCTTCTTAATGTACATGCACTGCATAGGATCTAGAAGAATTTGCTGTGGATTCTTTAAAACCTGTGTGCTGATTAGTTCAGTTTGTTTTTGTGGTATTGAAGAATTCTTCAAACATCTGTGATTTGATTGACTTCGTATACTTGTATTCTGTAAAGTGCCATAGACTTTTTTTTTCAATTTGTAGCATATTTAAAAAAAAAAAAAATATATATATACACACAAACTTGTGTGAGATGTGCAATACCAGGAATGGGTTTTGTTGTGGGTTCCCCCCCCGCCCTTAGTTCTTGCTTTTAAACAAGATATTTGAAAAGGGACTTCCCAGGGAAGAAGTAGCTGGAGTTTTGGTGGTGTGGACAAACTAAAGCATAGAGTAATGCAATAGAATCACTGATTTTGAAGATTAATGCAACAGTAGTAACAGCAGCTTAAAGATTTAACAAAAATCTCTTCTAGATTGATTTGAAATACTCAGATCTATATAATATAGACAATTCAAATGTGAAACTGTGTCCATCTCTAGGAATACACAATATAAAAGCTGAAAAGGCTCAGCAAAGTTTCTTAATGTGCTTTATTTATAATGTGGCACTGCAAAAAACATTGCTACTGAGCTATTTATGGGTTGTCTATATCACCTTTGTATCTATTTTACTCAATAAAGTTATCTGGATTCTGAGATGTTTTTTCCAGCCAAATCATTTCCATTTTGCATTGTTACCCCACATCAGAATATCTCACATCCTAGTGGTAAACGGAGAAGAGTTCAAGTCTTCCTTGAAAGCAGTGGGCGCTGGTGCCTACCTCAAGGAAAGGACAGAGCCCAACAAAAGCAGAGCATGGCAGCAACGTATACACCACAGCCGCTTTGTATAGGAAGAGCAGCTGTGGCAATCCAGCTAGAGTAGATTTTGAGCCATGGTTTATTTGTGGTACTGTTTTTCTGTTCTTGAGTCACCACTATGTACATTTGTTAGCATGAATGATGTACCTAATGTGTTATTTTTAATCTAAATTTCAATTAAAATGTGAGTTTCCAAACTTCAACAGGAGTCTGACTACTTTAATTCAAACATATTGGACAGGTTGAGCCACAGCAAGGTACCTTTAATTGTAGCTTTAATAGCATTTAAGATCCCAGCCCACTGACGTTCTTAGTGTTTCAGATTTCCATCTGAGTTTAACAATTACTACCGCTTACTGATCAAAAAGTATGTGATCTGAAAGTGTAGCTATGTGTTATACAGTACAGTTGCATTAAAGAGACTTTCTAATTGACTGTATGCCTGACAAATGTTTTTCATTTTGCAACTACAGCACTGGAGTTCCTTTCTCATGAAAAGGGGTAGGGAAGGTTGTAAAACAAATACTGCTTAATCACACAGACTTTTTAAATGGTGTTTGCCACAGTGTGTCTTACCTTTCACCTGTGAGTTGACAAACACTAGAGAGAGGTTACATACTGTTCTCTAAGCAAATTTAAGGCAGAAGTAGGAGTAAGGCTTTCAGTAGTTTAAAGAAAAGTCAGGATGTCACTTTTGTCTCATAGTCGCTATGGTCCATTTCTATTAAATTTACATATAATTAATCGCATGTACTTTAATTACACTCCTAACAGTTTCTAAACTTCCAAGAAGTAGCTCTTGGTTAAAATTTGGAACATTTAGAAACCTACAGTCCAGAAGAAGTTAGGGGATAGGTGCCACTCAACGCACCACCACGTTAGTCATCTTTATGGATTTCAAAGCAGGTATAGATACAGCAGTTATTCTACAAATACAAAATACTGCTGAAAGAAATTACAAAGTACTGATTTGTATAGCTAAAAATACTACCTCCCTTTTTCAGTAAGGTTAACATAGTTGGCAATAGGGAACGCAGAGTTCAATTCTCTAATTGTGTGAATTATTACAGGTTTCTGTGTTCTAGTAACTTCTTCCCCAGGCTCCAGCTAAGCTAGGTTTAGACTGGTGATGCAATGAGAAAGTGAATGTGTATTATTAACATCAGAGGGACAGGAATATAAAGATGTTGTCTTGCTCCTGTTATTCACTGAAAGCTTGTTTTCAAATAGATGCCTTTTATTTGATTTGTGGTATCTTCATATCAGTGAAATTCTGACAGCATAGGAATCAGTGTCCCTAACCAGCTTTAGGTTTCACTCAGATGCAGTGGGATCAGTCATCTGGTCTAGCTGAGAAAGGTAAGAGAAAGTAATTCCAAATTTAATCACATTATTCTGACCACTTCCAATTGCTCTCCTACCTTGGACAAAAGTACACCCCACTGCCCAATCCAGCATATCCACTTTTTTCTCTAAAA